TTTTTTTTGCAATACGGGCAACTGTAATTATTTTAGTTTTCGCAAATTTTTTATAAAAAAAGATCAGTCTTCTTCTTCACCTGCGGGCTGTGTCGGAGCCACAGCCGCCAAATTTAAACGTAGAAATACGTGATATTAATAACATCGCATTCACGTTAAAACGGTACATGAAATATTCGTTTTGATTGCGTTGAAGTGAATAAATCAATATGAATTGCAAAATATTAACTATTAGCAATAGAGAAGCACTTTTTATATTAGCCTAGGTCCTCGTCTTCGGATTTATGCATAAGTTAGCGAAGAATTCTGAAACAGCTGGCAATCCTCCTAAATATAGTTAATATTATTGCGATACATATTTAAATTGTGTATCTAAGGCGGCATTTCACCAAACTCATTTAAGTGGAAATTAACTGTAATTAAATTTTTTATTTAATTCTCATTTAAATTATTTTCAGTTTCAATAAGCTCTTTATTTAAGCTGTAAAACAGATTTGGCCAGCGAAAGCTTTCATTTGTACTGAGAGCTTTTGAAAGCTTTGGCACGCTGTGTTGTAAAAGCAGGGCTGGTATATAAGTAAGCAGCAGATACATAAAATTGTGGTGTGTGTATATTGATCAGCTGATTAAACGTGTAACATCTCTGAGTGTGGTTATTCCGATTTAATTTTTATTTAAGTGAAGAGCACTTAAATACAAAATTAAAAACAAATTAAAATTGATTGGTGAAATCAAAAATTCGAAAATTAAAGTAATTTTCACTTCAATGAATCTGGTGAAACGCAGCCTAATTCCCTTAAATCAAGTTGAATTTATTTTCTAAAACATATGGCAACGCTCTCAAATAAAGTTCAGAAACGAAACATTTATTGGGTATTTCTTTTACTGAGGGTCTACTGTAGTGTTGGTCTTGACAGACAGGGCTGCCAACTATACTTAGCTATGAAGTGCCATATTAAGGGGGTAGGGGTAATTCTTTTTAATTCTTCTCATTTAGCATTGAAATTAGAAACGCATTCCTAAAACAAAAGTCTAATGCTAAAATAATATAAACCAGTTGTATACTCTATAGAAATTAAAAAATTTTAGTTGAGAAAAAAAAGTACACGCAAAGAATTTCGCTAAAGGTATTGAAATTTTACTATTTTTCAAAAAAAGCCATTTTGGCAGTTTGTGCCAAATTGAAAAATTAAGTGCCATTTGAAGTAAAATAGCGCAAAAAATAAAAGCTTATAAAAATGGCACGGTTTGAGCCAAGTTGGCAGCCCTGTTGATAGTACTGAGTTTCTTAAGGCCGTTTTTACAATCGGCAGTTAACAATCGATTTTTAATCAAAAAAAAAAAAAACACAAAAACGAAAAATTTTAAGAAAAATTCCGAATTTGTGTTAACTCTTTACCACAAAAACGACCCTTGGAATTTTTTAATAACACGAAAATATCACAATTTTTACTTCATTCTTAGTTTTATGTTTTTTTTTAGCAAATTAACCACTCAACTCACCATTTCAGTACATAATCACCAGCTTTGGTTATATTACAGCTAAGTACTAGAGGTGATCTGATTTCAAATACTTTTAACTGATGTTCTGCATTATCATAGTTTGGCACCAAGAAGTCGGTATCTGTAATAAATTATTCATAAACAAAATTAATAAACAAAATTCAATCAAATTTTAATATGTATGTATGTAAATGTATTCGCTTAGATATCTATTATAAATATATCATTAAAAACTCTTTAATGGTAAATGAATTTAATGTTGCGCTAAAATTTTTATTTTCAATAAATTAGGATTATGATGATAAAAATAAACTAAAAATAAATTCACACTTCACTTCCAAAAATAAATTCAAATCAAATAAAATTAAGTAAATAAATAATAATAATACACTAAGTACATACATAAGAGTGGATAGAATAAAAAAAAAGATACATTTGCGCTAGCAACGGAACTAAAATTGTATAAGCTATTTAAAGATACAATATTATTTTACACATAGACTCGGAAAAGTATAATAAAAAGAGGAAATAAATTCAAAGTATACGTACATATGTATGTATGTATGTTTTCGTGTAGGTACAGAGTATGGTAACAAGATAAAATATGTACGATAAAAAAAGTTGATACGAAAATTTTATTATAATATTTAAATATGTATGTAAGTGCGTATGTACTCGTGCGTATGTATGTATGTATGTATGTATTTACATTATATGTCTATATGTAAATTAGACCGCACCGGAACTAAAAGTTCGCCGTACACCCCTGAGTCTAAAGTATTTTTGCAAGTCAATTTCAAAAAAAAAAAATAAAAAATTGGCCGAACATTTTTTCGTATCATATCTTCGGCATTTACAGTTGTATTCGTATCGCACGATATATCGATGTTTTTGTCGCGAGAAGATAATTTTCTTTTTCAAAGTTCATTCCCCTCAATACGCCATTCTAGTACTTACCACCCACCAGATCGCAGTTGCTACCACCCTAACATACGACAATAATGTCCGTCGATTAAAACTCTCCTAAAATTATAAGTAACTGTTTTCAAAAAAAATTTTCTTTTTTTTTTGCCGAATGTAGTAAGCACACACAGTGGCGCTCACCTAAATAGCACACTTTTATTTTTTACAATATTCACAATTTTTTACGTGATACATTTTTTCGTTAATTTTTATAAAAATGTAGTACATTCTATAACATAACCCATACTAGTCAAAGTTTATAACTTTGTGTACAGTTCGGGGAAAATTTAACAAATTTCAAAAAAAAAAATTTCATCAGAATTTTTAGAAACTTTTTGGGTAAACAGTTTTGTAGCCCATTCAATTTTAGTATAATGCGCAGTATTAAAAATTCTCTAAAATCATGTTGATTTTTGAGATTTTTTTTTTTTTGTGGAGGGTGTGCGCATTTTCTCTCATATAACACATGAGCAAAATTAAAAAAAAAAAAATAGTTGAAAATTTTGATGACATTTGAAATTTGTTAAATTTTCCTGAACTCTACACAAAGTTTTAAACTTTGACTTACATATATGGTTTATGTTATAGTGTGCCATTTAGGTGAGCGCCACTGTACATACATGGGTTTCAAAAAAAAAAATTTTATTTCGGCAAACAAAATATTTTCTTTTTTTTCTTTTTGGAAATTGCCTTGCAAAAATGTTTTAGACTCAGGGGTGTACATTGAACTTTTTTGTTTGCTTGTAAGGTGGTACGGTCTAATGTATATATGTATGTACATAGTTAAGTAGAGAGGCGCACATGTGAGTGTTGAACATACCGACTTTGTAACGCATGTGTGTGTGTATTGCATGTAAAACAAATTTGAGCGAAAAGAGGCTATAACATTTTTGGCTAATGAAACAGTAATTCGCACTTGTCCATTGATTCAAATTAACTTGTTTGCCTGCTTGCTAGCCAAGCAGCTATGTATGTAGCAATTGTAGCTGACTGTTTGCAGTAAATGTATGAATCTGTGCGGCCGGCAAGCAATGTGGCTTGTGTGCTACAAGTATTGGCTTTTAGGGCGCGATTGCTTTGTAATACGAGTAAGGCAAGAAGCATTCTTGTTGTTGCTGTACATAGTACGAGGGTCGTTCGATGTATTCTCGGTATCGTGGTAACTAAGTTAGTAGTGAGGTGGACAATTTAATAATTGAAATGAATAGTATAGGAATTTTTCGCATAATTACGGTCATTGATTATCTGGTAATCCTCGGTGAAAGAAGATTGTAAGGACTGACGCGCTGTGTTTAAATTCCATACAAAACAAGTAAAAAGTGAAAAACCCCATTGTGGCGTCATTACTGCTGCTACAGAAGCAAATGTGAAAAATGTTTAGATTCTTGTACTGTACTGGAGGACGACCGAATAACGAAAGGGTAAATTATTAGCAGAGGTGACTCCTATACCCGTAGGTACCATACACACTATTCTTCATGATCATCTTAATCTCTCAAAAGTGAGTGCGAATGCTCCCGACGCCACAAAAACAAGTGCGAGTGGATTGTGGTAGAGCATTTTGGAGCTCTCTTTGGTAAAATCAACGAGTACCGGCGCTCAGACTCGAGAGAGTCAGGCCTCTGGGGGACTAGACACTGCGGGCATGGGTCAATTATAAATGAAATGCAATTAAGTAGGATGACAGACTATTTCGTCGGCTGAGAGGAATATCGCCCTATCTTAGCAAATGGTTGAAAAACGTCCTATCTCATCTGCCGCTTCGAAAACGCCCTATCTCAATATAAATTCAATATATCGGCAGCGGCGATTGGACGTTTATGAACAATTTACTGAGATAGGGCGTTCTTCAGTCAAACTCTGAAATAAGGTGTTTTTTTCAACCGTTTTCTGAGCTAGGGCGTTTTCGAACCGGCTGCCGAGATAGGGCGATCTTCCACTCAGTGTAGGTAATCTAGGCTTCAGCTGTAACGTGCAAGTGTTATTCCCATCGAGCAGAGACTGCGGAGTGGGAACGCGAGACTACTCCCAGAAACTCGTTGGTACCCGCTGCGGGAAGTGCATTAAAATGGCGCAAAAAATCACAAATTGAATCCTAGACAGCGACTGGGAAGCACTGCAATCCACCAAGCAACACGAAAAAGTAGGAAATTATAAAGGAACCAATTCAAGAAAAAATACCCGAAGAACTGACTCCCTGCCGGTGTGTTTAGGGATTACTTTTTGTTGCCAAATTTGAAAAAAAAAATCTTCGTGGGATAAAACTTTTCTGACCTTGAAGAGCTCAAGGCAGCAATAACGCATATTTTTCGGACAAGGATAAGAGATATTTTTAGAGGGCATTGAACTATTGATCTTAATATATTATAAAGGTATTGAGATTATGGAGGATTATACTGAAACATATTTAAAAAAAAAATATATATATTGAATTTAATTCGAGTTGTTTTTTCATAATGATACCGAGAATACATTCATCGCCCCTCGTATATATCCACTACATACATACAAATTATGTCATACTTGGTGATGGTGATGGTTATGGGTGACGATGATGATATCACTTTTGAGTTTATTGAATAAGTTTAAGTATTAAATATGTAGCTATGTATGTATGTAAGTATGTACCGAGTACTAATAGATACATATGTATGTATGCATGGATTTGTGCGAAAATATGTACATAGGTATGCACTTGTACACAATGCATGACAGCTGCGCAGAATTTTAAAGACTCTTTTTATACAAATGTATGAATATATGTATGTAATTCAAACTTGGACTGAAATCACATAATTTCACAAATACTTTTTCGCATTCATTTAAGTATTTGTATATTTCGCACTTTTCTTCTTTATGAACACATGCTTAGTTGAGGCAGTAAAAAAAGTATTAAGCTAAAAGTTTTTCGTTTTTCGTTTTTGGTTTGTTTTCTTTTAGTGAATCGACGCTCGTAAAGCTGAGTATTAATATGCAAATTAATCATTCCATTGGATGGCGCTAACTATAGTGAATGTGTATATTCAAATATTTTAAGCACCACTTTGTGTGAAACTTTGCGCATTGAAAATATTAGTTTGCATTAGTTTGTCATGAAAAATATTTTGAAAAAAAAAAAGTTTACTTTGTTATTTCTTTTTAACTGTAATCAGTAAATGCAGCAGCAAATTAATTGATTTAATTTGCTCTTAAAATGATAAATGTGTGTGTATGTTTGTATTTTATATTTAATTTTTATTTTTTTCGATTTAATTTTAAATTATAATTTTTGTTAGTCTAATCGTTTTAATTAACAAAAAAATATTCAAGTATCGGGTTAAACGCGTTTTTACTTATTTCAAAAACAAAAAAAAAGTTTATTCCCTCGCAGCTTGCAGGTGTTTGAACGATGCGTTCAATATACACGCCGTTTCTAAAAACATTTTATTTAAAAATATAAAATGCAGCCGGTAAACTCTCAAAGAAAGTATTCTTATTGCGCTAGTAACGACTACATACATTAACTGTATCTAAAGCCCCAATATTTCTTGTTTCTTTTGGGTTTTTTTGTTTCTACCGAAAAATATTATTAAGAGAGGGCAATGAAAGTAAAAAAAAATTTTTGTAGAAACCAAAACGCCAATAGACGAGTACAGCTTGTGTTTGAAAGAAAGCTTTGAAGAAAATTTAATTGTTAACCCATCTGCCAGGCAATGAGCTTCCTGTGTGCCAAATTTCAAGCAAAGCGGACCATAAATACGATTTTTTAATTAGATCGGTCCCTGGTCCACCTATCGAAATATGCTTTAATCCTTTATCCCGGAAATAAAACGGCAACAGTTGTATATAGATAGAATGACACGATTGCACTATGGGTAATTTGACCAATTTTTGTGGCCAAAATTAATTATAACCAAACAAGTAGATTATCAAAAAAAACATGACTCTTTATTGACTGGCATACGATTTTCCACATTTTTGCAAACAAACAAAACATTAACCCTTAACGACCGATGGGTCAAAAAAGGCCACTTTTAATTTGTAGTTTTATTAAAAAAGTTTGAAAGCAGTATTTTTCTAAATATTTATACTAAAGAAAAAAAATTACACTTAGTTGCAAAAACAATTTACACAATGGCTAATTTAAAAAGAATAAAAATTATATTAATTTCAATTGAAAACCAGAAGGATTTGGATTTGCTAATTTGTCTGCTGAAAGTTAAAAGGAGCAGCTATTGTATTGTGTTTTGATTTCTATCTTTATTGAGTTCTCCTCCTCCATAATGGTAAATAGTTCTGCCCTTGTGGCAAAAAAATAACAACTCATTTGTGGCATCGGGGACAACAACAGTGGTTTATACATATATGTATGTATGTTCAGAGATATTTGCAGAAGAGATAACTTCTATTCCAATAGAAGCCAAACCATTAAACTGTCCCAAACTAAGGCCGTTTGAGAGATATTGGGAACTCGATAAAAGGGAAAAGAAGGCCACGGAACCTCAACGACTTTAAAACGCCAATGCGCGGGGATTTAGAAAAAGTAAAACTTTTGGTTTAATTATAACTTTTCTTTTCTTTTTTCTGTCAATTTTATGTGAATTTTTTTACTCATTCTTAATCTAAAATGCTTTAGTTTTTGAAAATTGACAACTGGTTTAAAATATATAATTTTTGCAGTGGACAATTTTATTCGACGTCGTCCTTATAACGCCTGATGTGTCCTAGAGTATTTTTGCGTCATTTTGATTCACTTTTCATGGGGTATATTTTGTCTATGTACATCCTATATTAACCTTCTGCTACTGACATGACCGCAATTTCCCCTATTTTACTGAAGTGTGGTCTCTCAGACACAAATTTCCGAGATCGAAATGTATAGTATATGTTAGATATTTGTTAATAAACTTTTTTTTTCAATTTAAACTAGATATTCTATCAATATTTTAAATACTCATTAATGAAGTAGTCAAATAAGTAAAGTATTTGTCGAATAATAAATAGTTTTTTTAGTAATCAGTGCTACTGAAGCTCAAGAAAAATGTCGAACCTTCGGTGTCGGTCAGATTACCACATCAGTAAATCGATTCCGGCCCTAAAACTTTTTTAACTTAATCAGAACTAAAAAAAAGTTTTTGAAATGTTTAAACTCCCTTAAAGCAACCATCGCTTGTATTTTATTATTATCTAAGAATAATATTTTTTATTTATATTTTTAAATTGGAATTGCATTTGCCCATAAATATTTTATGTTATTTTATTTTATTATCGTTTTTTTGTTTTTGTTTGCTTTAAATATAAGACAGTTTTGAACCAAACAAACAAACAAAATATTTCCACAAAGTGCATTTCTATTAGTGTAATTTTAAACTTATTACACACAGATATCTTAATCAAAAGTACTAATAAACTTCAATAATCGCACGCTAAGCTGTTTGCTTAAAATATTTAAATGTCACTAAGTTCTGATATGCATTAGAGTGATAATCAGAAAAATGTATATTTGCCATTTAAGTATGTACATAATAAAATAATAAAAGTGAGACAAAGAGTAAGAGGCACAAGCAACATCGAACGATAAGAAGAAGAAAAAAATAATTGTAATTCAAATGGAAAACAATTATCCAAAATAAACAACAACGTTTAAGTGATAAATAAAGATGAGAATCAACTTCAAATTCGTATCCATGGTCACTGCGAGCAATGGGCGGTAAGATGGCACTGGTGGTGGTTGGTTGATTGGTAGAGGAATTTGGTGACGTTTGTGAGAGTGAGTGACGACTGAAAGTGAAACTGAAACTGAGACTGAGACTGAGATGGCATTGTGATGCATACGGGTAACTGAGTTTCCTTTATTATTTGTTTTTTTGATTTTTTGATAACTCTTTTTTATTCTTTTGTTTTTTTTGTACTTTTTTCATTTAGCGATAAAAGCTAAAAAGGCTAAGGCTCACCCTTGCGAATTGGCATATGTGCCGTGGGAGTGGGTTGTGGTGACAAAGATGTGGGAAACGACACCATGCCGCCCGCTGTTACCGTGGCAATACCTGACACAGGCTGTCGCTGCTGCTGCTGCTGTTGTTGTTGCTGTTGTCGTTGATTTGGTTGGCTCAAATTAGGATTTACAAACTGACCGTGATGCGGTGGATAGGTTTGCAGTTGATTACGCTGCTGTTGCTGCTGTTGTTGCTGGTGTATTTGCGTGTGGTAAATATCAATTGGCGTCATTGTTTGCACGCCAATTTGTTGTGGCGTGAACATTTGTGTCGGCTGTTGGTAATTTGGCGATGCCGTTTGCAACGGGAATATTGACTGCGTTTCGACAATTTGATAGCCGTGCGTCGTATAAGGATTCATGTTGTTGCTATTGCTGGCAGTGATCCCGTGGTAGCGATGATCCGCATTATGATGCGGCGGTGTGTAAATATGCACCGCAGGCGCTAATGTTGTCGATAGCATTGTGGTGCGTGGCGGAGGGAAATTCGGCATTGGTGGATATTTAGCTACGCCACCGCTACCACCACGACTGGATGCCGTTGTTAATTCACTGCCATTGCCGCCAAGCTTTTTAGGCGACATATACTCTATATTGACAAGACCAGTGTCCAGTTCACTACCAATGCTGCCGCCATCGCTGCTGCTGCCGCTGCTATCTGGCAATGTTAATGATGGATTACCATCGAAGTTTGTGGCGTTTATATAAATCAACTTGTGCTGCTCATCCAGGTTTGTTGCTTGGAATTGTGACTTTTGTTGCTGCTGCTGCTGCTGGTGGTGGCGATGATGTGGCCGTCGATGTGCTGTTGTTGTTGTTGTTGTTGTGGTATGTGTTGGCAGTGACGAAGTGTCCACACCCACATCCGGCCCCCACATTCGCGTGAAAATATCATCCGCCGAACTGGGCGTCAGATCGTGTATCGTTTCGTATGCTGAAAGCGTTGAGAGATGATGACCACCACCGTCACCGCCACCGTCACCGTGGCCGTGGCCGTGGCCGGCGCCCCCCGCTGTTACGACAAATGGCGAGTAAGTTTGTGGATGGGGAGGCGCCTCGTTGGCGCTGCGTACGTGCAACATGTGGTAGCTTGTGTGCAAATTGTTGCACTTATATTGACCTTCGTGCACTTTAAGCGCGTGACGCACGGATAGATGTGCCTCGATTTTGTGTTTCTCACCTTGATTGTGTGAAAAGTTGGGAGTTTTAGAGAAAGTTTTTGCTGTTTTTTTTTTTTTTTTTGTTTGACTAGTTTTGCTTGCATTTAAATAATGACAACAACTGTTTTATTATCAAACTAAACCTAACTCTAAATAAATGAGCGTAAAATTCAAGGTTGGGGAGACTAGGGCTGGCAAAAAAAAAAATTAAAATAAATTCTCAGCTATAAAACTATGAGTCTTGGTTTGAATGAAAAAAAAAAAAAATAGACTGCAATATACACATTTCAGTTAAGTAAGATAAAAAATTAACGAAAATGTGTGCCAGGTGAATCAAAAAGTAACTGGTCGGAAGGAACCAAACACGACACAGGTTCATACATCCTTGGGTCGCAATGATAGAATGAGATCAAAGTGAGAGTGTAAGTGCATTTTTTCATTTTTTATTTTATTTTTTATTTCCACTTTTTGGCATTCTTTGAATGGATTAATGAACGAAACGAATTGAAAAAGAGAAAGAGCGATCGCTTGTATATAGACAACTTCTAGATTAAATCACTTATTTGTCGCAGTTTATCATTAAAGTAAATACTAAGGCCGTTTTCACAGTGGAGAGTTAACTCATATTTGGGCAGAGTTTACATGCACTGTGAAAAAGGATCTTAGCAGTTCGGTTTTTGCATTATATTATATTATACATATATATTTCACATTCTAATAATAGAAATATTAACAAAAACCAACAAAACCAACAACCACATGATCAAGTGAATTGCAGCGGAATAGCTGCGCTTGATTGTAATTGGCTTAACTAATGAAATAGTGGACAAAGCAACAAGAATTAACAAGGCGAACTTAGCACAGTGCGTATGCAACTGGCTGAGTCAATGGGATCGTCGGTTCGAATCCTACTGAAAGAAGTCTGATGAGGAAATGTGGTGATTTCCGAAATAGCTATCACTTCTACCATTTTTTCNTCAATGGGATCGTCGGTTCGAATCCTACTGAAAGAAGTCTGATGAGGAAATGTGGCGATTTCCGAAATAGCTATCACTTCTAACATTTTTTCAAATTATTGTTGCTTTTCCACAATAAGTTTTCCTTAAAAAACGGCCTCAAGCTCAATAAAAATTGTTGAATATAACTTTTTTATTTTATTTAATTTTTCTTCTTTTTTGTTTTTTTTTTATTTATTTTATTTTTTCTTTTTTCTTTTTTGTTTTATTGATTAATTTTTTCCCTTTTTTGTTTTATTTATTTTATTTCTTTATTTATTTATTTTTTTGTTTCTTTTCTAGATTTTCTTTAATTTTTAGTTTTTTATGTTTTAAATAGAAAAGTATAGTTTTTTTATTTAATTTAATTTTTTAAAAACTTATTGCTAAAAGACGCTAAGGCCTCGTCGGCAGCAAACCTTGCAATCAGTCTCTCGAAAGACAGAAAAGATCTTTCAAGATAGTTAAGAAAATTGACAATTGTCTTACGAAAGTCTTTTGCCTTACGAAAGACTGTGGCGATTTCACAGACAGCTACCAGAATTGTCCTGTTAAATTCATTTTGTCAGAAAAGTGGCAGCTAACAAATAAACGTTTTAAATTTTTTTGAATATTGCGAATTTCAATTATTTGACAATAAAATTCATGTCAGCTTTTTTGCTGACGAAATTTCACTCCACTACATATATAAAAGATTTGAATTTTACATGGAATACTTAAAAAAAAAAAACTTACTCTATTTATTAGCCATTTTTGATTCACCTTTTGGACATTGAAATCGCATGTTCAGCCATTAAACCACAACATTTTCATCGATCACTTTTTTCATTCCTTTTGTGACTCATTTACTTTGCTAAAGCTAAAAAAAAAAAAAATACCAAACAAACAAAAAAACATATCTATCATCTGAGCAATGAAAAGAAAAATGCTTGCTAAAAGCAAATTATTTACTATTTTACACGCAAGGCGCTGCTGGGTCTACAATATTTAATCTCTTACTAAGTAATGTGGTAGCATTTTTTTTTTTTTTTGTTTTTTTTTATATGTATGAAGAAAATTCCTGTTTTTGGCTAAACCCCCCCTGCTTTTTTTTTTTTTGTATACTCACCCTCAATGGCACTCTCCGACAGCGTATACGAATGCTCATCGCGTCCGTGTCGTAGATTATGCCGCGTTATTGGCTCGCCATCTTTGAGCCAAAATATGGGATCGGCCAAGGGGACTATGCATGTGATTGAGAATGGCTCGCCAATATTCACATTTGAATCGCCATAATAAATCGCTGTCTCATAGTCAAAATCTGGCAAATCTGTGTTGACATATCACGCATAAATGCATAAACGCATAAACGCATACATATAAAGATAGATATGTATGTATTTTACATATGTTAATTATTGTACGTTTTCAAAAATTTGTTGATTTCGCATTATGTAGTTGTAGTAAAGTGGTCGGTCGTATTTAGTTGTAGTAGTTGTAGACAGACGCGCGTCGTTTGCCATGTGATATAAAAATGCAGAAAATTTTTGCGTGTTTCGCCATTTGAAAATTTCCATTTTTTACATCGTTTAATTTGGTTTTTTTCGTTTCGTTTCATAATCCACAACAAATGTTTGCATGAACAATTCGCATTTAACACAGATTTCAGTATATACATACTTGTAATTCAAATTCAATATTCAAATTCAATTCAATTTGTCGGGCTAATTATACGTTTTGCAGAGGGTTGAAATTGGAGGAAATAATTATAAGAAAAAAAAGTACAAATGAAACAACATAAAATTCATAAAAATGAACCAAAAAAAAGAACATACATAAGGACGTTAAATAAACAAAAAGAAAACATGCTACACTTACTCGAGTATGCCAAGTAGAAAAAAAAGAATGACGAGGTAATTGAATTAGTTTTAAAATAATAAAACAAATATGTGGCTATGCGTGTTGTAAACAAAGGTTTATCATTCTGCATGAGTGGGGAAATTAATTGCAAAAACCAAAAACAATTCGAAGTATGAGGGCATTTATGTATGTATGTATGTATATGTGTATGTTACGTAAATACATATATGTATATTTATGTTTTTCTTTTTTATCTCTTTCCTGTACTGTAAAAAGTCATTTAATATAAGTAATAAGTATTTTGTATTGCCTTAACTTATTTTAATTGAGTGCTAATAGAAGAGAATTTGTGTAAAATTTATTTGATTTCAGCACCAAGTTGAATGGTTCAATGATTGCTCTAGTGCAAAACAAATCGTAGATATAAATGAAGACGACGCTTTGAAAAAAAAATCATATCAATAATTCACGGTTAGGCGATTCCCTTAAACTTGAATAATACCGGATTTACAATGGACACCAAATGTCATTTTAGAGGCAATATTAGGCATTAAAAAATATATGTGCAGTTTATTTTCACATGCTCATTTTTTCCATGGTAAAAAAAAAATNCCCCCCTGCTTTTTTTTTTTTTGTATACTCACCCTCAATGGCACTCTCCGACAGCGTATACGAATGCTCATCGCGTCCGTGTCGTAGATTATGCCGCGTTATTGGCTCGCCATCTTTGAGCCAAAATATGGGATCGGCCAAGGGGACTATGCATGTGATTGAGAATGGCTCGCCAATATTCACATTTGAATCGCCATAATAAATCGCTGTCTCATAGTCAAAATCTGGCAAATCTGTGTTGACATATCACGCATAAATGCATAAACGCATAAACGCATACATATAAAGATAGATATGTATGTATTTTACATATGTTAATTATTGTACGTTTTCAAAAATTTGTTGATTTCGCATTATGTAGTTGTAGTAAAGTGGTCGGTCGTATTTAGTTGTAGTAGTTGTAGACAGACGCGCGTCGTTTGCCATGTGATATAAAAATGCAGAAAATTTTTGCGTGTTTCGCCATTTGAAAATTTCCATTTTTTACATCGTTTAATTTGGTTTTTTTCGTTTCGTTTCATAATCCACAACAAATGTTTGCATGAACAATTCGCATTTAACACAGATTTCAGTATATACATACTTGTAATTCAAATTCAATATTCAAATTCAATTCAATTTGTCGGGCTAATTATACGTTTTGCAGAGGGTTGAAATTGGAGGAAATAATTATAAGAAAAAAAAGTACAAATGAAACAACATAAAATTCATAAAAATGAACCAAAAAAAAGAACATACATAAGGACGTTAAATAAACAAAAAGAAAACATGCTACACTTACTCGAGTATGCCAAGTAGAAAAAAAAGAATGACGAGGTAATTGAATTAGTTTTAAAATAATAAAACAAATATGTGGCTATGCGTGTTGTAAACAAAGGTTTATCATTCTGCATGAGTGGGGAAATTAATTGCAAAAACCAAAAACAATTCGAAGTATGAGGGCATTTATGTATGTATGTATGTATATGTGTATGTTACGTAAATACATATATGTATATTTATGTTTTTCTTTTTTATCTCTTTCCTGTACTGTAAAAAGTCATTTAATATAAGTAATAAGTATTTTGTATTGCCTTAACTTATTTTAATTGAGTGCTAATAGAAGAGAATTTGTGTAAAATTTATTTGATTTCAGCACCAAGTTGAATGGTTCAATGATTGCTCTAGTGCAAAACAAATCGTAGATATAAATGAAGACGACGCTTTGAAAAAAAAATCATATCAATAATTCACGGTTAGGCGATTCCCTTAAACTTGAATAATACCGGATTTACAATGGACACCAAATGTCATTTTAGAGGCAATATTAGGCATTAAAAAATATATGTGCAGTTTATTTTCACATGCTCATTTTTTCCATGGTAAAAAAAAAATGTCATTTCAAAGTCAAGTGGAAATTCGGCAAAACTGGAAAACTCGAAATCTTCAAACTCGAAAAAGTTTAAACTCGAAGAAAATTCAAACCCAAAAATTCGAACTCGAAAAAATTAAAACCCTAAAAATTTCAAACTCAAGAATATTCAAACTCGAAAAAATTCCAACTCGAAAAAATTCTAACTCGAAAAAATTTAAACTCATAAATTTAAACTCAAAAATTCAAACCCGAAAAATTTCAAACTCGGGAAAATTTAAACTCGAAAAAATTTAAACTCGAAAAAATTTAAACTCGAAAAAATTTAAACTCAAAAAAATTTTAACTCGAAAAAATTTAAACTCGAAAAAATTTAAACGAAAAAATTTAAA